CATTTTGAGAGCTTCTGAGGAGCCTGCCTGTCCCCATCCAGCAGCCAGTGGGGCCTCTCAGACAAAACAAGCCCAAGTTCCCATGTGGCTCCTATCAGGACTGCTCCCCGCCGCTGGGCAGTCTGCTGCCAGAGGGCCTCTGGACCTGCTTATTCCTCTGCCCAGCCCCTTCCTCACTTGCTATGGCCTCACCCTAATGTCAGTTTCTAGGGAAGCCTTCCCAGGCCATCCATCCCCAATTGCAACTGTGTCCCCACAGCACTCAGCACCAAAAAGGATGCACTTTTTTTGGGGGGGGGCGGGGGAGATAGGGTCTCACTCTGTCGTCCAGGCCGGAGTGCAGTAATGCAAGCAATCCCAGGCTCAAGCAATCCTCCCACCTCAGCCTGGTAGGTAGCTGGGAGGCTGAGCCTTTTAGCCTGGCCTGTTACTGTTTATTACCATCACTATTTATCTGCCCGTCATTCCCAAGTATTCTAGGATCCAAGAGCTCACACATCTTGTGCACTGTTCCCTCCGCTGACAAGCCCAGAGCTCGTAACACCACACACACACACAAATACTCCCACACCTGAATGAATGGCCAGCCTGTCTCCACATCAGAGACGTGTAGAATTAGCCAGGTGTGGTGGCACACGACTGTAGTCCCAGGTACTTGTCCAGGGCAAAGGCCACTGCTGGTTGGGGCTGGGACTCAAATGCTCTGGGCTCCTGTCAGGTGACCTGGAGGTGCTTTGGCCTGCTGAGTGAGAATCACAGGACGGCCTGAGCGGTGGCCTGATCTCACAGCAGGGACCTTGCAGGAGGTGACTCACTATTGTTACCTCCGCCAGAAACAGAAGCTGAAAGCAAATAGGCAAAATCCAAAATCCCAAAATCTCTGGAGACTTTTTTTTTTTTTTTTTGAGATGGAGTCTCGCTCTGTCACCGAGGCTGGAGTGTAGTGGTGTGATCTCAACTCACTGCAACTTCCACCACCTGGGTTCAAACAATTCTCCTTACTGTCTCCCGAGTAGCTGGGATTACAGGAGCCTACCAGTATGCCCGGCTAATTGTATTTTAAGTGGAGACAGCGTTTCATCATGTTGGCCAGGCTGGTTTTAAACTCCTGACCTGAAGTGATCTCCCAGCTCTGCCTACCAAAGTGTTGGGATTACAGGTGTGAGCCATCATGCCTGGCCACGGGGGCTGATATTTTCTTAAATCCACTGGTCAGAAGCATTAGGAGAGGCCACCCGGCTCAGAAAGTATCTGGGCACACAAACAGGGGTGCTCTCCTCAGCTATTTGCCGAGGGCAGGGCTCTCAGTAGCTCCAGCCACACTGAGAAAGACACCCGGGCCCTGATGGTGGCCCGGCCTCCTGCACTGCCACCTAGGCCCTCCAGCCTTCCTGTCTGGTCTCTGCATCACAGAGGCAAGCCTTTGCATGGGAAAGGGTGCAGCCTGGCCCTGCAGGGAGAGGTCTCAGCTGCTGCACCCCAGCCAGCTCTGGCCTCCTCCTAGGGAGCCTGTAGCACTGCCTGCCTTCCCCCACCCTGGTCCCCATGCAGACCCTTGGTGACTTCTCCCTGAATTCAGCATGGGGTCCGTGCACCTTCCTGGTCTGTGGGGGGCTTCCTGCTACCTCCCAGTTGGCTCTTTCCACCCTAGCCTGGAGCTGTGGAAAGCCCTGCCCTAGGCCAGCCCATGCTCCATGGGTGGACGGAATAAATGGGGCCCAGGCCAGGGGGCTGCAAGACCAAGTCTCAGCCACCCAGGCCTAGGGCTTACACATGTCCACACACTCTGGGAAGGTGATCAGTGTGGATGCTGCACATTACTTCATAGCCCCGTGGAGGTGGGGGCGGCATCCTGCCATTGGCAAAAGTAACATTTTACAGCACAACACCAGGGAGCTTTAATGACTCGCTCTGATTTTAACCAGGTCATTTTGAGAAAAAGCCATTCACAAGTTTCCGTCTACATTTGCTGTGCGACTTAGTGAATTTCCGGTATAAAGTCCTATGGAAGGCCAGGCATGGTGGCTCATGCCTGTAATCTTAGCACTTTGGGAGACCAAATGGGCAGATCACCTGAAGTCAGTTCGAGATCAGCCTGGCTAACATGAGGCGGGAGAATTGCTGGAGTGCAGTGGCACCATCTCAGCTCACTGCAACCTCTGCCTCCCGGGTTCAAGTGAAGTCTCCTGCCTCACTCTTGGGTAGCTGGGACTTGTTTAATACATGCTTCATGGCCAGGTACAGTGTGGTGTGCCACCACACCCAGCTAATTTTTGCATTTTCTTTTCTTTTTTTGAGAGGGAGTCTTGCTCTTATTGCCCAGGCTGGAGTGCAATGGTGCAATCTTGGCTCATCGCAACCTCTGCCTCCTGGGTTCAAGTGATTCTCCTGCCTCAGCCTCCCGAGTAGCTGGGATTACAGGCACCTGCTACCATGCCCCGCTAATTTTTTGTATTTTTAGTAGACACAGGGTTTCACTATGTTGGTCAGGCTAGTCTCAAACTCCTGACCTCAGGTGATACCCCCGACCTCTGCCTCCCAAAGTGCTGGGATTACAGGCATGAGCCACCGCACCCAGCCACGAAGCATGTATGAAACAAGTAAGACACATTACTATTGCCTACAACTCCATAACTGGTGTGAATCTGTAACCCCAGAAGTACCCCCTAACCTAGCCCTGACTTAAGTCCAGGTGCAATATAGTATTTCACCTTGCTTTTTTTCCCTTATGTAGAGGTTTTCTCAAGACTCCAGGGTAAAAAAGCACTGACTTGGCTTAACAAGGTGCCTGTCTTGGCCCCTCTCTGTTAGAAGCACCATGGCCCACTCAGCACGTGATGGTGGAGTATTCACTCCCATCCATCTCACTATGCAAGGATAGGAGTGAGGAAAAGCACACATCTTAGGTACCATCTGGTTGGTTCCAAGCAGTATTTTTGGGTCTCATTCTTAAATATGAACAATCTGTCAACACCACCCAACACTTGGAAAATCCTTTAAAATTATTGAAAAATATAAAATTAGGTCAGGCATGGTGGCTCCTACCTATAATCCCAGCACTTTGGGAGGCCACCACAGGTGGATCACTTGAGGTCAGGAATTCAAGACCAGCCTGACCAATGTGGTGAAACCCCGTCTCTACTAAAAACACAAAAACTTATCTGGGTGTGGTGTCAAGCACCTGTAATCCCAGCGACTCAGGAGGCTGAGGCAGGAGAATCGCTTGAACTTCATAGGCGGAGGTTGCAATGAGCTGAGATCGTGCAACGGCACTCCAGCCTGGGTGACAGAGTGAGACTCTGTCTCAAATGTATATGTAATTATATATAAGAAACAATATGTCAAAAATCAGTACTCCTTAGAAATAGATTATATCTATTGCAAAAAAGAACGAAATGAAAATCAAGAAACAGACAAAAGGATTCTTAGGAATTAAAAGTGATAGCTGAGCTACTTTATTATTGTTATTATTATTACTATTATTGAGATGGAGTCTCACTCTGTTGCCCAGGCTGGAGTGCAGTAGCATGATCTCGGCTCACTGCAACCTTACCTCCCGGATTCAAGTGATTCTCCTGCCTCAGCCTCCTGAGTAGCTGGGACTACAGGCGCATGCTACCATGCCTGGCTAATGTTTCATACTTTTAGTAGAGACGGGGTTTCAACGTGTTAGCCAGGATGGTCTCAATCTCCTGACTTTGTGATCTGCCCACCTCAGCCTCCCAAAGTGCTGGGATTACTGCACCAGGCTTTTTTTTTTTTTTTTTTTTTGAGATAGAGTTTTGCTCTTGTTGCCTAGGCTGAAATGCAATGGTGCAACCTCGGCTCAGTGCAACCTCCACCTCCCAGGTTCAAGCAATTCTCTTGCCTCAGCCTCCTGAGTAACTGGGATTACAGGCATGGGCCACCACGCCCAGCTAATTTTGTAATTTTAGTAGAGACAGGGTTTCTCCATGTTGGTCAGGCTGGTCTCAAACTCCTGACCTCAGGCAGTCTGGCCACCTCAGCCTCCCCAAGTGCTGGGATTACAGGCGTGAGCCACCATGCCCAGTATTATTATTTTCTGAGACAGAGTCTAACTCTATCTTGGCCCACAGCAACCTCCACCTCCCAGGCTCAAGTAACCCTCCCACCTCAGCCTCCTGAGCAGCTGGTACTACAAGAATGCACCACCAAGCCCAGCTAATATGTTTTGTATTTTTTTGGGTAGAGACAGGGTTTGCCATGTTGCCCAGACTGGTCCCAAACTCCTGGGCTCAAGTGATCGACCTCCCTCAGCCGCCCAATGTGCTGGGATTTCAGGCGTGAGCTACTGTACACAATTAAGCTACTTTAAAAAGCAGTAGGACTTGACTGAAGGAAATGAGTCTCTGGAGTGAAATCTACCCATCAAGTGCCTAGCCCAGTGAATGGGCAAACCATGTAAAATAAAGGTTCCTCAATACTTCCAGGGAGGAAATCAGGGCACATGCAAAAGGAATTAGACTTCTCATCACATTATAAGTTCTACCTCAGAACACCTTAAGGTGTTGCCATGGGAGCAACACCTTAAAAATTCAGTGGGAAAAGGATATCCAAACTACAATTCTATACCCAGCCAAGTTATCAATTTTGTACAATCTACAAGCATTTTCAAACTTCAAAGTCTTAAAAATCCTACTTCCGGTGTTGCACGTCTAAAGACTGAGCCCCCCGTAGCTAGAATGCCATGTGGAAGCTGAAGCCACACCTCCCACATGGCTCCTCTGGCCAGCTGGGCTCCTCAGATGAGAACTGCACCCAGGCCAGCACCGGCCACTCAGCCACCAGCAGTGGCACCCCCCTTTGCAGTTGGCTCTTCTGCTGCTGCGCCCCGGCAGCCAGGTCTGCAGGCCCAGATGGCAACCACTGAAGCTGGCATGGTTGTGGGCTCTGCTGCAGGGCACACACTGGGCCATGCCATTACTAGGGGCTTCAATGGAGGAAGTAATCCTGAGCCTGCGAGGCCTGACATCACTTACCAAGAGCCTCAGGGAACCCAGCTGGCACAGCAGCGGCAGCCTTGCTTCTGTGAGATCAAACAGTTTTTGGAGTGTGTCCAGAACCAGGGTAACATCACGCTCTGTGAGGGTTTCAGTGAGGCGCTGAAATAGTGCCGACTTGCAAACAGATTGGCAATCAAGAAGTTCAACCTGGAAAAATAGAAAACCAGCTCTCATAACCAAGTTAATTTAACATAAAAATGTAATTACTAGTGAAGGTATAAAGTGTAGCCACCAGTTAAACCGCTCCTGTCATTCCTGGCTTCCTTTCTTCAGAATTGAAATGGAAGGGGGTGTTCCTACTCTGTAGAATTGGGAGCTGGTCAAATGTTTGTGTGGCCTCCTTAAACTAGCTGTTATGATTTTATTCTTTGTGAGTTAATTAGAATAAAGTAATTTTCTTCCAAAAAAAAAAATCCTACTTCCCCACTGGGCATGGTGGCTCACACCTTTATTTTCATTTTTATTTTTTAAATTTTATTTATTTATTTATTTATTTGAGACGGAGTTTCGCTCTTGTTATCCAGGCTGGAGTGCAATGGCGCGATCTCTGCTCACCGCAACCTCTGCCTCCTGGGTTCAGGCAATTCTCCCGCCTCAGCCTCCTGAGTAGCTGGGATTACAGGCGCGCACCACCATGCCCAGCTAATTTTTTGTATTTTTAGTAGAGATGGGGTTTCACCATGTTGACCAGGATGGTCTCGATCTCTTGACTTCGTGATCCACCCGCTTTGGCCTCCCAAAGTGCTGGGATTACAGGCTTGAGCCACCGTGCCCGGCCAGCTCACACCTTTAATCCTAGTACTTTGGGAGGCCAAGGCAGGCAGATCACCTGAGATCAGGAGTTTGAGACCAGCCTGACCAACATGGAGAAACCCCGCCTCTAGTAAAAATACAAAAAATTAGCCGGGCATGGTGGTGCATGCCTGTAATCCCGGCTACTCGGGAGGCTGAGGCAGGAGAATCACTTGAACCCAGGAGGCAGAGGTTGCAGTGAGCTGAGATGAAGCCACTGCACTCCAGCTTGGGCAACAAGAGTGAAACTCTGCCTCGAAAAAAAAAATTCTTGAATTAATTGCTTTAATTTTCCAGGGCAAAAAAAGACAAAAGAAAAAAAAAACAATCCTACTTCCCATGTGCTCTTTCTCAGGATGGCACCAGAGGAACTATGCCACCAAAACAAGCATGTAATTCAAGAAAGAGGATACATGAGCTCCACAGACAGGGCTGTTAATGCAGGACAAAGGCAGGAAGAACCCCAGCCCACATTTGTGCAGACTCCAGGATGTCTCCTGCAATGGTGGGGGGGGCAGCGTGAAATAACAGAACAGATAGTGTCCCATTGCGTAGAAAAATCTACTGGAGCTGTTTCACAGAGTTAAAGGCAGAAGGAAGATAGAGACTCTAATTGGGCAATCAAAAAAATCAAATAATTATTAACTTTAAGAAAAACAAGAGGTCAGCAAAGTAGCTCACACGTGTAATCCCAGCACTTTAGGAGGCCAAGGTGGGCATATAACTTGAGGCCAGGAGTTCAAGACCACCTTGGGCAACATGGTGAAACACCATCTCTGCTAAAAATACAACAACAAAAAAATTAGCTGTGTATGGTGGCGTGTACCTGTAATCCCAGTTACTCAGGAGGCTGAGTTATAAGAATCGTCTGAACCTGGAAAGTGGAGGTTGCAGTGAGCCGAGATGGCACCACTGCACTCCAGCCTAGGTAGGTAAAAGAACAAAACTCTGTCTCAAAAAAAAAAAAAGGGAAAAGGAAAGATATATACAAGAAATTGGCCAGTGGCTCTTGCTGGTAAAGTCATAACTTTGGGAGTCCAAGATGGTTGGATCACATGAGCCCTGGAGTTCAAGGTCAGCCTGGACAATAGAATGAAACCCCATCTGTACAAAAATTTAAAAAATTAGCCAGGTGTGATGGTATACACCTATCATCCCAGCTACTTTCAAAGCTAGGAGAGAAGGATCACTTGAGTCCCAGAGGTCGAAGCTACAGCGAGCTGTGATCACGCCACACGCCACTACACTCTGGTCTGGGTGACAGTGAGATCCTGTCTCGAAAAATAAAAAGGAAAATAAATTGTACAAAAGGCTGGGTGTGGTGGCTCATGCCTGTAATCCCAGCACTTTGGGAGGCTGAGGCAGTGGATCACCTTAGATCAGGAGTTCGAGACCAGGCTGGCCAACATGGTGAAACCCCATCTCTACTAAAAATACAAAAAATTAGCCAGGTGTGGTAGCACATGCCTGTAATCCCAGCTACTTGGGAGGCTGAGACAGGAGAATTGCTTGAACCCACAAGGCGGAGGTTGCAGTGAGCAGAGATAGCACATTGCACTCCAGCCTGGGCAACAAAGCGAGACTCTGTCTCAAGAAAGAGAGAAGAGGCTGGGCGTGGTGCCTCAAGCCTGTAATCCAAGCACTTTGGAAGCCAAGGCGGGTGGATCACCTGAGGTCAGGAGTTCAAGACCAGCCTGACCAACATGGTGAAACCCCGTCTTAAAAAAATAAAAATTAAAAAAAAGGAGAGAAAGAGGGAGAGAGGGAAGGAAGGAAAAGAAAAGTAATTGTATAAGAAACAAAATGAAGACCCATTACCCTATCCAGCTTAGCAGTAAGTAAACAAATTTACATAGTGAGCACAATAGGTACAGATTAGCAAATCACATCCTGCACCTGTTTTTATAAATGAAGTTTCTTTGTTTTGTTTCGTTTTCTGAGACAGAGTTTCTTCTGTTGCCCAAGCTGGAGTGCTGTGCCACAATCACAGCTCACTACAGCCTCAACTTCCCAGGCTCAGGTGATTTTCCCACCTCAGCCTCCCAAGTAGCTGGGACTATAAGTGTGTACCACCACGCCCAGCTAATATTTTGTATTTTTTTGTGTGTGTGTGGAGATGGGGTTTCACCATCTTGCCCAGGCTGGTCTCAAACTCCTGACCTCAGGCGATCCACTCACCTCGGCCTCTCAAAGTGCAGGGATTGCAGGCCTGAGCCACCATGGCTGGCCGTAAATGAAGTTTTACTGGAATACATCCATGCCTATTGCTTACGTATCATCGATGGCTACTTTTTCTTTCTTTCTTTTTTTTTAAATAGATATAGAGTTTTGCTCGTTGCCCAGGCTGGAATGCAGTTGGCATGATCTCGGCTCACTGCAACCTCCGCCTCCTGGGTTCAAGCCATTCTCCTGCCTAGCTGGGATTACAGGAACCCACAACCATGCCTAGCTAATTTTTGTACTTTAATTTTTTGAGACAAAGTCTCGCTCTGTCGCCCAGGCTGGAGTGCAGTGGCACGATCTTGGCTCACCACAACCTCTGCCTCCCGGGTTCAATTGATTCTCCTGCCTCAGCCTCCCAAGTAGCTGGGATTACAGGTGCCCATCACAACAACCGGTTAATTTTTGTATTTTAGTAGAGATGAGGTTTCATCATGTTGGCCAGGATGATCTTGATCTCTTGACCTCATGATACACATGCCTTAGCCTCCCAAAGTGCTGGGATTACATTGTGAGCCACTACGCCCAGCAATTTTTGTACTTTTTTTTCCCTCCTCTTTTTTTTGAGGAGTTTCTTTCACTCTCGTCACCCAGCCTGGCATGTGATGGTGCGATCACAGCTCACTGCAACCTCCACCTTCTGTGTTCAAGCAATTCCTCTGTCTCAGCCTTCCGAGTAGCTGGGATTACAGGCGCCTGCCACCACAGCCAGCTAAATTTGTGTTTTGTTTTGTCTTCCTCTGTTGCCAGTCTGGAGTGCAGTGGCATGATCTCCACTCACTGCAACCTCTGCCTCCCAATTCAAGCGATTTTCCTGCCTCAGCCTCCTGAGTAGCTGGAATTACAGGCATGTGCCAGCAAGCCCAGATAATTTTTCTATTTTTCGTAGAGACAGGTTTCAACCATATTGGCCAGGCTGATCTCAAACTCCTGATCTCAAGTGATCTGTCCATCTCAGCCTCCCTAATTTCTGTACTTCTAGTAGATGAGGTTTCACCATGTTGGCCAGTCTGGTCTTGAACTCCTGACCAGAGTTCAAGACCACACATGAGCCACTGCACCCAGCCCCATTGATGGCTACTTTTGCACTATGACAGAAGGCTGAGTAGTCACAACAGAGATAGTATGACCCGCAGAGCCTGAGTATTTACTATCTGGCAGCCAGATGCAGTGGCTCATACCTGCATCTAATCCCAGCACGCTGGGAGGCCAAGTTAAGAGAATCACTCAAAGCCAGGAGTGCAACACTAGCCTGACAAGATAACAAGACCCTGTCTCTATGAAAACAAGAAACAAGCTAATTTTTTAGCTGGCTGTGGTGGCTCACACCTGCAGTACCAGCTATATGGGAGGCTGAGGTGGGAGGATCACTTGAGCCCAGGAGTTTGAGGTTACAGTGAGCTGGATGAAAGCTGGAGTAAGTGTGTGTGTGTGCGCGTGCGCGCGCGCGCACACACACACACACACACACACACACACAAAATCTGACTACTTAATACAGTCTGCCAACCTGAAGATCAAACTACACATTTGATAACTATTTGGGGGATATAAATTAGGGAGAAGAGAATATAAATGAACTAAATAATTCTTATTGATAGTAAGTCCAAAGACTCCAAAAAGGAATAAGACAGCACTATAAGAATACTATTTAGACATGGAGAGATAAATGCAAAGAAAGTGATAAAATAATTAAAAGTGATTGGCTGTATAGCATGGGATGGAGTTGAGGAGACTATTTTTTAAGCCCTTTTAAGAACCATTTAATTGTTTAAACTATATTCAGCAATACTTTGATAAAGCCAAAAAATAATTATAAAGCAAGCGAGTAGAACTCACCAAGACCCCAAGGAGCTGTGCTCAAGCTCTTCTGGGCGTCTGGAGTCACTGGGCTCATGTCCTGCTGCCAGGAGCCACCACAGATGCCCGCAGTCTGAACTGGAGGTCCAGTGTGGCCATCGCCCTCCATCCTTGCTCCTCTTCCTGGGTCTTCATACTAGGATCCCATCTCGGGTGGTCCCTCACCCTGGGGATTAATGTTACCCCTTTTCCTTCCCCCGTCTCCTCCCCTCAGGCCAAGCAGCAGTGGACAGAAGGGA